ACCAAGCTTTCGGGTTGTCCCGGTCCCTCTGAGCTACTCGAATGTGCGCACCTGCGGACTTACCGGAGGGCCAGCTCCAGGATGTCCAGGGCTCTTGGGAGTCTCCTCTTGGTTCTGGGGAGCTTCTTCCGGTCCCCGAGTCACAAGAATTCGGAAATGCTTCTGCCCTGTGTTTTGATCCTGCCTGATCTTGAACAGGCACCCTGGGCTCTGCGGGGTCCTCTCTGAATTTGTCCTACGTATCTCGGGGACCATCCGACTGGCCCGAGGCGGTGCTTCTGGGGTTCCTCGGTCTTCAGTGGGGCTCACCCGGCCTGCTCGGGGCTGGATGGGGTATGAGGTGCTCCTCTCCAGCCGAATGCGTGGATACCTCACCAACCTGTCCCCCTTAGTGCCAGTGAAGCCAAAGTTGAAGTCACTGCCCAGCCCCAGAGCGCCTTGCTGGGGCTGCTGCAGCTGAAAGACAAAGCAACGCTTCCCGGAGCTCCCAGAAGCGTCTGGAACGTGCTGGAGGGACCAGCGCCTGGGTTCAGCCTGGCCATCTGGGCCGAAGGGCAGCAGCCGCACCTGGCGCACATCGGCGCTGGAGGCTCGGTGCTGGATGCGCAGGCCTGGGGTGGCCACCTCTGTATCCTCGGGCAGGCGGGAACACTGACCACGGTGGTCACAAGTACCATTGACTAAGGTCCCGGGGTCCCAGGCTGCCCTGGGGGGAGAGCTTCCAGGAGTGTCCACCGGAGAGGGCTCAGAGGAGCTGATGTGAGCCGAGACCCTTGTGGCTGCGGCCTGGTCTCCGAGGTCAGCCTGGGAGCTTGGGGGCCTGTCCTCAGGGCCCTCGGGTGGGCCGCAGCTGTCTGTGGCACCATCTGCGGCCTTGCGTTGCAGGGAGATCTGCACCGAGGAGCTACGGGTGGGCCTGGCGTCCACCCCAGCCACGAGCTGCGGTATGAACATGGATGAGCTGCGCTTGAGAGCACCCACGCCCTCCTGCAGGCCGCTGTCTTCCCCTGCGTTCTGGGTGAAGGGGTGCGGGCTGCTTCTCCGTGGCAGCGTGTGGAATGCCATGAAAACGTCCTCTTCTCTCTCCTGGTCTAGAATCTCAGACTCGGGGGCCGTATTGCTGCGGCCAGAGCCAAAATGAAACCGAAGACGATGGGCCATGGTGACCAGGGGGGCCGGCAGGGAGAGGGCGAGCGACAACAACACGCCCAGTACTGCCAGAAGTCAAAACCCAAAGACACCAACTCCAAGAAAAAGTGTCCCATCTGCCAAACCGTTAGCACTGAGGCACCAAGAGCGACAGATAGCAGAAATAGCCCAAGTGGCAAGCAGCATTCCAGGCATGATTGGATAAGAGCAAAAAGCTCTCATCTACTCTGTGACAGAGGGTAGGATGGCCAGAGACACATGACCGCCTGCTCCCCCTCCAATGCCAGCTTCTGGACTTAGTGAAGTTTCCCCTCTCTTGGTGTTTTCCCCCCCTCTAAACGGCAAGAGCCTGAAACAGCACCTTCCCAGCTGCTGCAGTTCTGTCAGAAAGGGGCGGCCCAGCAGGGAGCTGGGGCAGCTGACTGAGGCAGCAAACACACAGCCATGCCGCTGTAAATCTGACCCATCACACTCGTCGGGCACCGCTTCCCCCAACTACCGACTACCCAGAGCACCAGGTCTCTCTCTAGCTGATGCTGGGGACCCTGCAGCAAGCACATGCACCCAAAGGTATGTCTTCCACCTCCCTACCCCACCAGAAAACAAGTAAACTACAGCTTGGCTGCAGGGCAAACCCTCTCAAGCATTAAATGTTATGTTTCTGTTATGATATCACTACACTACCGCGAGGGAATGCAAAGTAATAAAACGTACTATAAATACGATTACACACCCTGTGGAATCAGTGTCCCTTTAATGGGAAATAATTAGACCATGATCTTCAAGTAACAAAATAGCCAAGTGGAGGCGCAGGGGGCACACTGCACAGCCAGCTGTGGGCCTGGTCCAGTTCTTGCTACTTACTATAAACATTCTTCATTTAAAGGGGGGGTGTGTGTGTGTCACATATAATATGATTGCCAGACACAGCAGTTAACAAAGAAAAGAAACCCAGCTGGAAAAAACAATCTCTCTTGCAACACACACACACACACACACACACACACACACACAGAGAGAGAGAGAGAGAGAGAGAGAACTGAAGAGCAGTGTGTATGTGGGCTTTGTAGTAATTTAACTTAAATATACAGAAGAAACACCTGGAGCTGTTTTTCCAGGCAGAACTCAGCAAGATTTACCACAGTTAGGCCACAAATCTAGAATCTTGCTGTCTGCAACAAGCCAGAAAAGACCTGAGAATTAAAAGTGCACAGGCCAAAAAACTGTCATCAGATCCATAACAAACCTGGACATAGCCTCTGCATTTTAAATATGCTCTTTCCTATGATCCAGAAACACCAGTTCCCTAACAAGGAGATTTTATTTCGGCAGGACTTTAGAAAACAGGAGAGGAAATTGGGGAGGGAATGAGGGAGCGGGATACAGCTGGGACACAGAGTTAACAAAATGTAACTAAAAAGAAAAATAAAATTAAAAAAAAAAAGAAAACAGGAGAGGAAAATACCAGGCTGCAAAGAGTGACAAAAACTTATTTTAAAATCTACAAGGCATGTCTCTGTCAACAGCTCTAGAGTAGAAGGTGTGGCGGATTAACCCTGTGTTGACAGGCACCCAAACTTGTTTTCTGAAAGCCCAGAGTTCTGAATGGCAAAAATAACCTCTGTGAGACCTAGACGGTTGTTTGCTCAACGCCAGAGCTTCCAAGTAGACTCCAGTCACGTATTGTCTTCACTGGATTAACAGCCAACAAAGAAAAAGCCGCCACCAGCACCACTGGCATTCTGCGCATCATAGCCGCACAGCGGACAGCCTGGGGCAAGGCGAAAGCGGACATACAAAACACGACTTCTAGAGCTCCCCTTTGGTTTGGAAATATACTTCCTTATCTACAGCAAGGTTGCTCAATTACAATCCTTATTTTAGATCACACAAATGAAAACAAACACAACACTTTTTAAGCAACACATTTCTCTTAGTAAAAAGAACATTAAGAGGTGCTTTCTCTTCAACTTTGGCCATTGTTTCATTTTAAAACGACTTCCCTCCACAATTCGGGGTTAAGTATCAGTCGGTGGAGCCCTGTTCCTGCACAGACTTACTGCTTGATTATTTCTTTTTAAAAATTATTTAATTTTTATTTTATGTGCATCAGTGTGAAGGTGCCAGATCCCTTGGAATTGGCATTACAGACAGTTGTGAGCTGCCATGTGGTTGCTGGGAATTGAACCTGGGTTCATTATGGAAGACATACAATGCTCTTAACCACTGAGCCATCGCTCCAGCCCCCATGATTGATTATTTCAATGAATACTTTTAGCTTAGTCAATGGCTCCAGGTTGATAAGAGGGTGAGAGGCAGGAAATACTGTACTGTGCAAGAGTTCCTCAGGGTCCCTAATGATCACTCTCCCCAAGACGCTGTCCATTTCAACAAAGCTATGATCCCATATTTAAAGCAGGAAAGATGCTGGGAGGGGAGGGCTGATCTGTTAGCTTTCCATTTGCAAGAATAAAGCCAAGCACATGAGATTATACCCACCCCCAAATTCTTCATTAAGGATAGAAGGTCTGGCTATTTGTAACATAGGCGGACACTGACAAGACGCAGTGCCAGACCCTGTGTCCCCCCAGCTGCCATTTAATTATACTCACACCCGGGGAACCAGCGTTCTTTCACCCCTAATGACAGGGAGTGCATAACTGTGTCTCAAGGGTTCTCTTAATGGTCCATTCTGTCATCCTCAAGCTATTCCACAGTTTGCGGAGTTTCAGCTGAATTCCGTGGAAAGATGGGCGCATGAATGCACATTCCTCTTAGACAGGGCAGTAGACAGGAGTACAGCCCAGTCAAGTGCTCTGACGTTCACTCCCGCTTCTCAGAGTGCTTTAAAGACTGACACATAACTCGATCATGTTTGTTTTCATAGCGGGGACACTTGGCTCATGAGAATTTGATGTAAATATTCGAGTTACTGAAGGAAAACAAAACACTGGGCCAGCTAAATGTCTCCGCACACTGAGGCACTTGTCATGCAAACCCAGTCACCAGTGTCCCTGGAACTCACATAAAAGCGGAAGGAGAGAACTCTCCACAAGGCTGTCTTCTAACCACCACATACACACTGTAGAGTCTATGTCAATTATATATACATATATATTTATATATATATATATATATATATACACACACACACATATATAAAACAATCTGTATATAAAATGCTGGTTATATCAGCTAGCTTCTTCGAGAATGTCTTTGAGATTTCTTATTTTGCCTTAGGTGGGTTTTATTTCAGGTATGGGTTTGTTTTTATGGTTTTGGGAATGGAACCTCAGACATGGCAGGCAAGTACTGGGTACTACCACCGAGCCACACCGCCAGCCTTTCTGCTGCTCTCTGAAAATTACTTTCTAAGGATTTTTCTTGAGAAAGTACCACTGTTTGATTTCATCCACTAAGGGAACTTGCTTTAACTATACACTGGTAATTAGATTTTTTTGTTTCCCCAGAGACGATCACTGTAGAGTTGTCGGTGAACTCTCGCTGTGGTGTGCATGTCTGAGGGATGCTGTTTACAAGTCTGATGGCCTCTTTACAGATGAAGCTACTCATGTGTGTGCCCCAAAGAGAGTATAACAAGGCATTTGGGGTGAGGCTGTCACAGGTGACCTTTAGTAGTATTAACTATAAAAAAACATACACATACCCCAATACATTTTCTGTCCTAGCAACCCACAAATATTTGCTGCAACTGAAGACTTGAACAGTGAGACAGAAACAGTCCTCTTGGGGCATGTGAACTGCTGTGAGTGACCCCGCAGACCCGGAAGGCGCTACTCGAAAAATTCAGTTTTTAAGAAATAAATCAAAACTCACAACCAAGGACTTACCAATCTGTTCTCGTCAAATACTTCAAAAAGGAGCCTGTGATTAGATGGATTTACCTAAAAGGGACAAAATTACATTTCAAGAATCAACAGGTATAATTTTAAAATTGAAATGAGAGGCAGAATTAAGAATGATTTCTAGTATACGCGACTCTACCATATTGACTGGCCTGCTTATCACTATTACTTATCTCTTACCTCTCCTGAATAGCTAGGTATACCAGAAAAAGACAGGATCATGGTCTCCTGAAGAGCGATTCTCGGCAGTCTTCAAGGACTTCCAGCCTGTTCTAGAGCAGCGCCCTCACAACTGTAGGTCAACGGCCTATGCTCACTAGCCGAATAATGATAGTGGTGGTAATGAACCTAAGAACGGCAGCTGACCACTGTGCTCACCTCCAACTATCATTTCCCGAAACACTAACACTCTCTGGCCTTATTTAATTCTCCTAACAACCCAAGAGCATGTAACGATCACTTCATCCTTCTCTCGGAGATCACTGAAAGCAAGTGCTTGAAGCAATTTGCCTAGGAAAGCACAAGCCAGTAGCGCACCAAGCAATTAGAACTTGCCCTGGGTCAGGGTAGAGTCACAGCCGCGAGGCTGCCAGTGTTGGTTTCTTTCTCTTTACCCAAACTCATGCAAATAACCTGTGTCTCCTGTCTAGACTCCCGGTGCCACAGACTAATCACCAACCCTGCCAGATACGGCCCCAGGTGTTGCTGCTTCCATCCTTGCCCGTCAATCATCGAAGAAAAGCCTACACTGAAAGGACTTGGGATGTAGGGAAAGGGATGTAGGAGATTAAAAATGGTGTTCTCAAAGGCTATGAGTGTTGATGACAGACATATGATTTGGCCTGAATGCTAGGCTTGGGCCCCTTTCATGGAACATGGAATGAAATTATATTTGATTGTGGTGCACAGACCTCACATGCTCAGCCTGAGCTCCTGGCCCTGGGTCTGCGGACAGCTTAGCAACAGACAACCAGATGGATGGCTGCCTATTCACTGACTCTGCAACGGGTCCTATCAGGAATGCAGTGATAGTCTGTAACAGGAACAGGCAAGTAATAGGCATTCCATACGAAATTGTAGTGGGGATAAAACAGAGATCTTTTAAAAAGAGAAAAACAAAGGCAGAAATATGCCTATAGGTTAAGAGCCACTCAAAAAGTTTTATTTCTTCTAGAATTCATACCATGTGGCACCAATGGAAGGAGTACAAATAATTTAGAGGTTCGTGAGAAGGCTGCTTGCTTGTATTTGACAGTTAATTAAGAGCCAGTAACAAACACTTCTCAGCCCTGGAAAGCTCTTCAGTCCTTCACAGAGTTATCTAAAATATATCTAAATATATCTGAACACGGGATCCACTGAGTGTTAAAACCTCAGTGCCGTGTGTCAGCTCTGAGCATAACAGAAAACAGATGCGGGGTAAGCCATCCAAGTGTACAGTGCAGAAAATCCTATCATGGCTGGAAGGAAGAAGCCGGGGTGTGTTCATGGGGGCTGCTGGCAGTGTGGTTCTTAGCACACAGGCAATAGGAGGCCTAAGTTTGCAGGGGAGTCTTTTTAGCATCCCAGGTGTGTAGACAACTCAAACGTTCATTTTTTAAAGGGGAAAGCCCCCCCCTTTTTCCCAATTAAATGGCCGAGGGGCTTAATAAGTTCAAGTATTATTTGCTAGCAAACACCAGTCTCCATTGATTCACAGAATCTACTTCTGTATCCAGCTGCTCTAAACAGGAGGTGCCAAAGGCTGAGGAAATGTTCCCCTATTCAGTGGTATTGAAAGTAATTGTATACATTAGATCTCTGAATTAGAAACCTTTCCCTTCTAATCAGAACATAACTGGTAATCTTTCTGTCTCTTGTGGGAAGACAGTGCTGGGGATAAACCCAGGGTCTCCAGAGTGGCAGACATGGACTCCTCCACGGAGCCAACCCCGGCCTCATCACCCGTAATGGGCAATGCTTCCTTTTAACCATGTCCCTACTGTGCATGAGAGACTCATAATCCATATCTTATAGGAATCATTCAACTCTTGTTTTAAATTGCATTCTCTTTGTTTTTGCCTTTTTAAATGTGATTTTTTAAAATCACATTCTTTTTTTTCTGCAGATTTTATTTTTGAAAGGTTGCAAAAACAAAACTAACCAACCAACCACCAACAACAAAAATTAACCAGACCCTAAAGACTTAATTTGATCTTATTTTTAAAGAAAAGCTTGAGCTGAAAGAGTAACATATTTTGACAGGCTTTTTTTTTTTTTTTTTAATTTCTCCTATCCAGCCCCAAATAACCCCCCCACCCCGATTTTCAAAATTTGGGACACATTCAGAGTCAACCCACCCAAACATTTTCTGTCTTAAGAGAAATTCCTGATTTAAAATGCTAACTAGTTTTCTTTCCATGAGTCTATTTTGATCTGTCAACCCAGATATCAATAACAATCATTACAAAATAGAAGAGAAACTTACTCTAAAATAAAAGTCTTCATTCCACTTTGGGTTCAGCGTCTGGAAGAGAGATTATTTTGTGATCTTTGGCCATGTTACTAATGTTCTCTAGAACTGACAGTTACTAATATAAAACAACTCTTCACATTTGCACAAACATTTTCCTCACAAAAACGATTTTCAAAATGGCAATAAAAGCAACACTTACTCAATTACTTGAGACTATTGTATCAACCCAAAATGGATCGGGAGGGACTATATTTATGAAACTGGTGATTCATGACAAGGAAATCATAAATTGTGCAAACTCACCCGAAGGAAAAATGCTGGGACTTACTGACAATGAGCCATGAGAATGAAAATTTCCTCTAGAAAATGACATTAAAGAGGATTTACTCTATCAAGAAGGAAGTAAACTTTGTTTACTTCCCTTTACCTGCTACAAGTGTGTGTCAAACTTAGAATGGCTGGAATTGCTCACTGCTCACATCAGCATCGACATTTTATACAGAACAATACTGATGAGATTTTAACATTTCTCTCACACACACGGGGGGGGGGGGTGTCTATAACCAAAAAGAACTCTATTTTTTCTTTTTCTCAAAGTTTTCATTTAAAAAATATCCTTTGATCTTCTTCATTCATATATCATTTGTTTATCAATCTATTTAAATATACATCTTGCAAGATCACAGGAACGATATTTTGATGCTTAGCCCAAACAAAACATCCTTCTAAACAAATATAAAACCCTTTGTATGAAGAAACACACACTCACACACACATTCACATGCATGCACGTACTCACGTTTGTACAAGCATAAAAGTCAAGGAAACACAATCTGTAAAAATGACCTGTACAATTCTGAAACTGAAAAAATCAGTTCATCACCATGATTGCCTTTTAGCAGGGAAAGAAAAAAAAAATCCCAGCACAGTATACCACATATGCAAAACAACACTGTGACAATGACCAACTAACATTGGTTTAAAAAACAGTAAAACTGCGCCTTCCCTACACCCCCAACTCCACAGAGAACCCCACCCTAAATGACCACACTTTGGGGCATGAATAGAACTGAAATGGAATGGGGGGGGGGTTGTGAATGCCCGCCTCCCGGCATCTCCCCCCCCCCCCCCCCCCCCCGACCTGAAAGACAGCTACAGGGAATGAAGTAGGAGGTGTTCCCAGGCAGGCAAGGGACAAAAGGAGACCACAAAGCAGACAGAGCAGGGACACGGGTAGAGGAAGCCTTAGCTCTTCTACAAGCGCGGCACAGTACAGCACAGCACAGCAAATACTAACCAGGAGGCTGGCTGCGAGAACGGAGACACTCCCTCCAGCTGGCAAAGGGAGGGGGAGGCAGGGCTGTCACTCCAAATGCAGGACATTGCGATACCCTAGTCCCTCGCATAGGTCCTCGGCTCTAGGCCAGCAGGGGAGCAGGCCCCCTGACTGCTCTTCCAACTAGGTGCCCCAGCTTTACTGGGAACAGAACGAATGCCAGCACATAACACCGGGAACAATGGCCTCCATCCTCACAGGCAGCCTCCCACTAATCTCTGGGCTGGCTTGTTTGAAAACAGATTTTACTGTTAGTCTCAATGCCAGGTGAAGGACACTGCATTACTGTTTCCTATACAAAATGACCTGACTGTAACAAAGATCTGAAATGTTTCCATAGCAGCAGAAAGGATGCAATATTTTTTTAGCTATCATGGAATCAGGATACATTTTGCAAAGTATCTAACAGACTTATAGAAACAGTGTTTGTGTGTGTGTGTGTGTGAGAGAGAGAGAGAGAGAGAGAGAGAGAGAAAGAGAGAGAGAGTGAGAATAATAATAACTCACAAGCAACTCTAAAACACAAATATAGTCTTGGTAGAAAACATGAATCTTTAACAAAGTTGTCCTCACCCCCGTAAGACAAGACACACAGATGAAGTATCCCGCTATTTTTTATTTGTAAACAGAAACATAAAGGTGAGTGGACTTAGGGATTATTTTTTATGGGCTGAGATGACTCAGCCAGTAAAATGCTTGCTCATGTGAAGGCATGAAGACCTAACTAAGTGTGAGCCCTAGCACTCAAATAAAGTGTGTGGAGGAGTGTGCGGCATCAGTCCTTCTGGCACAGGGACAGATCCTAGGGTTCGCTGGCCTGCCCATGCACCCGAGTTAGCAAGGTCTGGGCTTAGTGACATACATGTCCACTTCTCCCTTCACATGAACATGCACAACACACACACACACACACACACAAACAACAGGAGAAGCTGCGCGCATGAACCTACAATAGTATTATTAATACATTCATGCATTTTCATGTGATCAAGGGTTTTGCTTCCTTAGGCAGCAGCTAAACCATTCCTCTTTTGCCTTCCAATTCTATAACCCATTTCATTAAATCAGCTTTAATCTACAGCTTAAATTCTCTATGAAAAATATTAACCATAACAATTTATTTGTTTGGTTATATGTATTATAAGAGAAAAAAAATACTTTATACAGATAACTCAGGTGAAACATGGGAAAGTTCTGGACTGTGGATGATTTTTAGATGTGAAAAATATTGACAGTTAAAAATACTGCTATTTTATCCTTAAAACATAAACTTCTACAAAGAAAAAAATGAAAATGTTAAATTATGACTTCTATGAAATCTCATAGAAGTTGGCCAACCTACCTTCTTAATTGTCTTTGTTTGAACCAAAGCCAGTTCTCTGTTCTCATCAGCTACATACAATGACAGCTTCACATACGGGTCACTGCAAGGAAACAGTCCAGATTTAATGGTGCTATACTTTTCTCATTAAAAACAAATGCGCAAACAAAAATAGCAAAATGGAATAAAAATGTGAATACCAGTTATATTGAAGCCCATAAACCAAGCGGCACATTCTAGTAAGTGTTCCAGTCAGAGCCCAAAATGAACAACATAGACACACACAAAGAAACCAACGATCAAACTTTAAAAATGTTTCCAATAATCAACTCCAAACAATTAAAGCTGCCATCACTTTCAGAGTTTTGACAGATCTTCAGAGATTATTAAGTGGCACAGGAAATTTGTTTCCACAAATTTAAAAAACCTATCAAGAAGACTTAAGTTTACAGCCCAAGCACATTCTCATTTCTAACACGTGGGTAAAACATTTTTCTTCTAGTGGATATAGAACAACAATTATTCACTTAAACCACGACAGACAAACTAACACTTCAAACTAAACACTGAAGCCTAGAAAACTTGATGGTCACCCAAAGGTAGAGACTTGAGAGAAGTCAGGATTAAATTTTGTTTCCTGACTGCAAGTCCTTGGACACACTAAACACACTTTAACTTGTGAAGCTGATATCTTCCAGCAGGACATGTACTGAAAAGTGTACCTAATGTAAACTATCTATAAGAGACAAGATCTGAGATCATCTAGTACTACTAACCCAAATGCTCAAAATTAGTTGTTTTCATTAAAAGAAGGAGGAGGAGGAAGATGAGGAGGAGGAAGAGGAGGAGGAGGAGGAGGAGGAGGAGGAGGAGGAGGAGGAGGAGGAGGGGCTGGGGACAGTCAGATGGATCAGCAGGTAAAGCATCAGCAGTGTAAGTCTGATGACCTGGGTTCAATCCCTGGTACCCACATAAGGGTGTTTTCTGACCTACACACACACACACACACACATAGACACACACCACAAAGCAGAAAAAATAATTTGTATAGAGGGATTTCTTATACATTACTCTTGAGAACCTAGAAAGCACAAAAGTTCTCTTATATTTTCACCCTTCCGGTTTTATTTGTTTAATTATCAATACCTGGTAACTTATTTCTATCACTCTATTGTGCCAGTTTCAAAGATGTTCAGCTGCCCAAGGTAGTACCCTAACAGAACCCTTGAATTCATGAGAAGTTTGAGGACTGAGGATGGAGAAAGACCTATTGTAGGGATAATCTCTTGTTTTTTATGTGTCAACGTCACCTGTCAATAAAAAGCTGATGCCCAATAAGCTGAGGTAGGATTAGGAAGCAGGACTTTCCGGCAGGAAGAAAGGAACTCAGGGATAGAGTCAGGCTGGAAAAGAATTCACCTGGCACCAGGACACAGAGGAAGCCAGACATGAAGCAAAGGAGAGGTAACCAGCCTTGTAGCTGAAGTTAGGTTAGTACAAAAGGGATAAGAAATTGCGAGTTAGCTGGAGAACAAACCAAAGTTTAAGGCCTTGGATTATTAATAAATAATAAGCTTCAGTCAAAAAGCCTGTGGCGGTACCCTGTCTTAGAAAGACAACCCCCCACACACAATGGAGAGAGTTACCCTTAAGTGGCTATCCCAGCAATGATTAAGCATTAAAAAAAAAAACCAAAAAACAAAAAACCAACTTCCAGAGTATTCACAAAGATCACAGTAAATAATTCAAGATGCTGAGCATATGACTACTTGTTATATATCCAACAATAGGTGTATCTCACAAAACCTTCATAAATGACTAGTATTTAAGAGGACTATAGTGAAGGCACAACACACAGAACACAGCTGGGAGCCGCCGCAGTGGTCAAGCACCCAAATAAGAGCTCAGTGTAGGTGTACGTCAGGGTGGCAGAGACAGGCCTTTACTGGCTCCCTGGCCAGCCAGGCCAACCAAATAAGCATAGTAACAATAATAATACATGTCAAGAAGAAATTGAGGAAAATAACCCATTCAGCCTGCTGGTCTCTCCACATGCCTGAAGGGGGTAATTGCATCCACAAACCCACCCAGCCACCCACTCACACATACGCCCTCACTACCAACACACACAAAATCAAAGGTCTGTAAAATATTAGTACACAGAAAAAGATATCTGTCAATCTCACCTTTTTTTCATGAAACAGAAAGCTTGCCTTGGGGAAAGAGCATTTAACTAGCCGAGTTTCACTTCTTACCAGGACAGAGCTTCAGAAAAGTAGCCGCCAGGAGCCAACACCTGCTACACACACAAGGTCCCAAGAAGAAGGTCTCTGGGCTGGGGCACTAGTCAGTTTTTCCTTTCTGGTCAGTGATGTTCAGGCCCTTAGCCTATCATAATCTATAGATTGCTGGGCTCCATGGTCCAAACTGAACTCAGATAACCCAAGGGGAGTTACCTGGAGATCCCAGAATTTACATTTCTAGAAAATTCCCAGATTCAGAGGCACCTGATTCAGGAACCACTCTTGGAAAACCAGTGCTCTACTGGTTTTTGAAAAGAGTTCCAGTAGTAGACTTTATTTCTTTTCTTTTCTAGCCACCAATTTATTGCTTTAAAAGCTGGCAATGCCTAATTTCAGTCTCAAGAACACACTTGTAGTGTAAAGCATTAAGTGGGTGTAAACCCACACACATAACCCCACATTACATAGAATACCATACACTCTGCTGTGCTTTTAGATTTCATGTCCCTCTGTTATCACAATTGCTGGCTACCATGTAACTAACTACAAGTAGTAGCTAAGCCTCACTTGAACAGAACATCCACATTCTACCCCTGGTCATTTATTTACCTCGGTGTGTATCCCCTAGATAACTTATAAATGGCACAGCACACGCAGTTGGGGCCTCAAATGATGGGACAGTGTCTTCCAGCTGTGACGACAGTGTCTTCCAGCATGCCTGTCTGTACGTGTGCTGCCTGCACAAGGTATAACAGACCCTGGGAAATATTGACCACAGAACTTCCTGGTGCACAGTTCAGCCTTAAAAGAGAGAGCCAAAGGCCAACGGGCTGGAGATGCAGTCTGGAGCTGGCTAAAGGTCAGTGTGGTGCAGAAAGCAGTAACTATAGTCTACATGGCTCTGGCATATCTCTTCCCTTTCTGCTGAGGCTCAACCATACTCAACTTTGGGCTACTTGTGAATGAGGTGGGTTGGCAATTCCTAACTCACAGGGTTACCTAGAAATGACAGAAGAACACTGCTGAACATTAGGATGGTCAGCACAGTGCCCAACAGCACATGTGCCCCGACACAGCAGCCACTGTGAACGGTCCTTCTTTTTCTTGCTCTCTTAGGAGGCGTCTGGGGTTCTCCGGTTGCTCCTTTCTACTTCCCACTTGTGGTGGCTGTTGACTGAGTTGACGCTGATTTCCCACATAGTTTGAACTGGGTGTGCCAACCACAGCTTGAGAGGTATTCCAGGCTTCCTCGTTATTCATACCCACAGGCACCTGGGCAAGGTGCTCAGGCTAGCCATCTTATTCAAAACAACCCATCCTGGCTTCTACTTACTGTTCCTCCAGTGTCTGGTGGTTAGTACAGCGCAGGGCCAGCATTAATATAACTCGGTAAGACGCTCAGGCTTTGCGGGACCCTGTCAACTGGAAGAAGAGTAAGATTCTGCAAACCTCTGAAACAAAGTGGGCTTATCTAGCTGTCTGTTCCTTCCTTCCGATTTTATGAACAAAAGGCAAACTATACCCTTCTTCCTTTTAGCTCTTCTGAGGAGCCAACAAATTGGCACTAGGATTCAAACCACATCCTGTTTTACCATTGCACTTTCCATGCTACATGAGGAAATAAGCCTCAGAAACAGAAGGCCCTGTCTCTGTTCCACCTGCTTGAAGCAAAGAGAAATAAAGTGACGATTATGACAAAGCTGTCCAAGAACCCAGGTCCATGTCTCTTGAGCTCACACAAGCCAGGGTCACGAAGAATGTGGGAGTCTAGGTTCACCAAGAATTGGGAATCCCCAATGACTTACTATCCCAGGAGATAACCATACACTCGTTCATCTGGGCACCACTGCCAGAGAGGAATCTGAAGGGACACAGGCCAAGACTACGGTGAAGGGATTCCAGGCTGAAGAATCCCAGGCAAAGACTGGTGATGGGTTTGAGCCGGGAATGTGGAATTTTTTTTTTTTTTTTTTTTTTTAACAGCCTGGCTCTGCTGTCATCTGAAGAGCTCAGGGACAACAGACAACCTGGATTCACACCATAAGGAGGCAGGCATCCCTACCAGGGCTTACTGCTTGGCCTAAACCCCATTGTTTCTGGATAACCTTGATGAACTCACATAACTTCTCTTGCCATGTATGTGACAGGGATTGAAGCAGTATTTTATAAGGAAGCTGAGGGGCAGACTGAAATGAGAACTAAGAGCAATTGTCCAATGGATGTCTGTAGCCTCATCACCATTTCACTGAGGGTGCTTAACACACATTTATTAAGCGTATTCTTTACAAGATAAGAAGAGGGGGATAGCTGGGGGGCTTTACCGCCTAGAGTGGCAACCGTCTCCACCGAGGTGTCACAGATTAGAGGGAAGGATGGAGGCGGCGATGAGCTCAGTTGGCAGGATGCTTGTGCAGTGTGCACAAAGCCCTGCCCTTGATTCCCACTCAAAGCACGGAGGCAAGAGAATGAGAAGTTCAAGGTCATCTTTGACTACACAGCAAGAGGGACCTCAGTGATGCCTTTGTGGTAAGTTAGGGATTGTCAGATAAGGAAAGCCAGGGCTGTCACCAGAGAATCCTGGTGGTTTAGTGCAATTTTAAGACACCTGAAATTTCAGACTGACCCCTAAATCCAAATGTCTAGGTTGCAAAAACAACAAAATGCACCATGCAGGAGGACATTAGATGCCTCCTTACTTTGCAGAGAATATACAAAGTCAAGAGAACACTTGAGTGGCTCAAAGCCATTTCTTTGTAAAGCCTCATCTGTGTATAAAAGAAGACACCTGAGGCAAAAATCAGAAGGAGAAAATCATGTTACCTCACAGACCTGAGGCACACAAGGAGCTGCAGAAAAACAG